AAGACCACTCGAGGTCTTTCCAGGAAACGCTCGTGACAGACGGGAGGATTTCATCTCTTCGAAAGGACTTCCGACACCGGCCAATCTGACGCCTTTCGAAACATTTTCTAAACAACTTGTTTCGAAAGGCTGTGTGTCGAAGACACAAAGTAGATTTTGCGCGTTTCGAAAGCCTGTGTGGTGAGCCCCTCCGTAGGACTGTGGAGTACAAACCTGACACGTTATCTAAGTTATCTTAGCCAAAAGGCCGAGAAAGGTATGGAACAAATCTTTTGCCCGGGTGCTGTAGCCTGTAGCAAATTATGGTTACAATATTTGTGAAACTCTTTTTTTGTGAGGCTGTTTCAGTATGCTGAGCTGGACAGGGAAAAGCAATACACTCAGACAGTTCAGAATCTCTAGTTGCAACACGTATGAAGCTCTTTTTTCTGTGAGCCTGCTTCAGTTTGCTGAGCTGGAAAGACAGGAAAAAACAAACTACTTCAGTTTGCTGAGCTGGAATGGAGGAAAAGCAAACTAAGCAAAGATAGACAGTAAAAAAAAAAAAGGAAAAGAAAAGACAGTAAAACTGTAAAATTACCTTCGGACCTGCATCGTGGTAACTGCTTGGTGGCCGAAGGGTACATTGATTGAACTGGCTATATACCCAGATCATGGCCTGTTGTCTTGAAAGATGTCATACTGTCAGGGACAAGACTCCACGGGGGGAGAGATCTAGATCTATACATATATGAATTTTTTGCCATTTGGCACCCACTGAAAACAGTCACAGACAGGAAGGTACTTCGAAAGAGCAGCGGCCATGTGCAAAGACCAAGGGCCTCGCTCCACTGCTCACAACATGCAGAAAATACAAAAAAATATGGCGGCCTTTCTTTCCATGTTCTAGCAGAAGATTGGGCCCCGCTGCACTACTCGAGACTCTCGAATTTTCGAGAGTGGGTCTTCGCTGCACTTACTCTCGATCGGGAAACTGTTGAAACCCGATCGAGAGCTGTCAGAAGGCACTCTATATCTCCACTCTCGAAACATCGAGAGTCGCCCGGCTGCAAAACACGAATTCGCAAGTGTCCTCGGGAGTTGGCCTCCGACCGGCTCGTTTTTTCGAGAGTGGACCTCCTGTCCCGGTGGCCATACCAGCCTGGCATTGTCCCGTAACGTAGTGCTACATGTCTTCTGTCGAGTCTGACGAGGCCCGGAGTTTCAAGAGTGCAGCTAGTGTAACAGGTTCTACAGTTAGTGCAGCGACGGGGGGTATTTTGAGAGTCTCGCCTCTCTGACAACGCTAGTCGAACTCTCGAAATATTTCGAGAGTCTGGAGTAGTGCAGCGAGGCCCGTTCATTCTCATTTTGCGCACTTGGTGAGAAGTGGAGCGAGGTCCCGAGTTCCCTTCGGGCCTGCCCGGACTGGTGGTCCTGCAGTACCACATTCTGGGTTGCCACAAGACGTCATGGCCACATCCCCTTCTTGGTTTTCTGTTGCCTCGGCATGTCTCTTTTTTTCTTCGATCATGATTTTTTTTTTTTTTTTTTTTTTTGGGAAAAAGGTCATGATTTCTCCCTTCGTCATGTCTCTTGTTTTCTTCGGTCACGATTTTTCCCTTACTAGATGGATGACCGGCTGAAGCCAGTATACACACCCTTACTAGATGGATCACCGGCTGAAGCCAGTATACACGCCGTACTACACGGTAAGGGGATATTATTGCTTCGAACTACTGAACCCCAGGGGATGTTGGGACCTTGGGTCGCGCTGCACTACTTTCCACTCTCTGAATTCGGACAGTTTTTTATTGCTGCACTAACTATCCTATTCCACCCCTCAAAACCCTTCTGATAGCTGTCAGAAACTGCCTTGGAGAAGCGCTCTCCCCTGGTGGAGAGTGCGCAGCCTGCAATGGTGGTTTTCCGGATGGACCTTCACCCGGCTCTCCAAAACTATGAATCTCCCTCGGCGCTGGCCGTCGGCGGCCAGGTCCATGACCCCGCAGCTGCGGGTGGCAGCCAGTGGGGAGGGGGGACGGGGGTTTGGGAAGTGGCATGGGGTGGCGGCGTGGCGCAACCCCAGCCCCACCCCCGCAAAGAAAAAAAAAAATTTGGGGGGGGGTT